GACTACAAAGGTTTGATGTTCCCAATTATTCTCAACCCGAAGCTAAAGGCGTTCTAGATTATTATTGTGATGGTTCATCAATCTTACAACGTAAGTTTTATTATATCATTTTTTGTTAATTTAATTCTTGTTCAAATTTTATTAAATCTTTTATATTTATAGAATCTCGTGATAAACTGTTTCAAAAGACATTTATTGCAACAAATGGGAATCCACGAAAACTTTATCTATCTTGTTGGAAGGGATTATAGTGTTTGATAAATTTATTGTTGTAAATCTCATTATTGTTGTAATGTTTTAGGTTAATCATTTTACGTACAATAAACTGGATAAATTATTCTTTGAGGAAAAAAAAATCATATTAAAAATGTCAAGAATGCAATAGTAAAACTTCAGAAGATAATACTTGTGTTAATAAATATATTATAATCAATAAAAACAAATTAATAATTATGGCCAAAATTGTACATGAAAACACAAGGAAATACTTTGTCTTAAAATTAAAGACAATATTATTTCATCTAATAAAGCCATTTTACCTAATTGGGATAAAATTGTTAGCGCGTTTCTTTTGTTTCTAAAAATGGTAATCTTCAAAAGTATACGTACGTACGTACGTACGTAATGATAAAGCTAAGAAATTAAAACTATCCAACCAATAAAGAAATAGAACAAGAATAATGGATATACTGCCAATGCTCGACGATTTGACAAATAAGATGCCGAAATGAAATTAAAAGAGGCTTAAAAAAAAAAAAAAAAATTAATATTTATAGTAATAATAATTTGTAAATAAAAACAATTCTCACCCCAAGAAGACCATGAGTATGCCACTGCCGATAAAAATAATCTGATATAGATTATTTTACCAATAAAAAGATCTAAAAACGCAGCTAGGACTAAAGGAAAAATACAATATCCAAGAACACATATACTTTGAAAGAATGATCTAAATTTATCGATAAAAAAAAACCAGATTAATTTTATTTCTTATTCCTGAATATTAAATATTGTATTCACAACTTACACCTTGCTGCCCAAAAGTTTTGCATTTATTGTCACGACAGCAGCACCAGACCATACAATAATAAAAACACTTGTAAATACTGTAACTTCTTGACTTTGTGCACCAATACTCAATAATCTAGTATCATAAAATCATTTACGTAAAAATAGCAAATGAAAATTTGCTACGTAAAATAATTACAATTAATATGTTTTATTACCACTTACGTGGATAATGTCAAACAAAGAATTAATGGACCCCACAAATCCCCTTTAAAATAAAAATATTTTTGATTAAACAATAAAAAAAAAAAATAGAAATTACCGTAAAGTTTGAAAAATAAGCATCTCTATTTGTGACAAAATTTATCAGGAACCAAATCTCAATTGCTAATTTCTAATAAATTTGGTCTTAAAAATACTATACTTATTTTACATTCTTTACGTTAACTAATACTGTATATTTACAATCACGTAAAACATCACGTTCTCCTTTAGGATAAAGAACTTGTTTCAATTTAATTACAATATTTCTCAGATCACGAAGCTTTGATTTATAAAGTACAAAAATTAATTTTGAAATTTGTAAAAAATTCATCAAAAAAAAAAAAAAAAAAAAAACCTACAATAGTTTTAGAAACTGGTTCATCAAGCGAATCGATTAAAAAATGATTGGATTGAGGAAGTGGTTGTAGATCAACATTAATGACTACTTGCTCTGTAATAACTGCAAGAGCACGAGGGGATGAAAGATCTATATCATCAGGTTCTATCACAATATCATGATCTTTCAAAATATAATCATTTGGTGAATTTTCAAAGTCATATTTGTCTTCAGAATTATGAATAACATGGTTACGATTTGATAAAGGTGATAACAACATAGTAACGCCAGAATTTCTAAAGTAAAATAAACATTAGCAACAAATATGAAAGAGAAATGTTCATTACGATCAAAAAAACTTGATTATTTTTCATATTTCACTTTCAAATCAATATCTTTGGCAGTCGAATAAGTTTCCCCACCTCAACCCTAAATCAGAGTTGACTCTAACAATCGCCACTTATAAATATAAAAAAAGACGGTCCACGTTGACCATAAAATCCTGAACAATAAACCACAAGAACGACTAACGCTAAAAACTAAACCTACTTATGATGGTGTTTTTCCTTATATATATCGATAGTCTTTGTTGCAAACGATAGTGAATGGTTGATTGTTACACGTAGATGAATAACTTAGCCTTAAGTGCTGTAACTATAGAAGAAAAACTTGATATAAAACACAGCCCAGAGTGATCGTGATGAATATCATTGTGAATTTCACTTATACTTAGCATTAGAAAAGTTTTTCCTATAAACTTGAATATTTAAAAAAATAAATTGTTTGGTTCTTATTGCATAAAATTTTTTATTTTCACACAAGTTTTTTTAAAAAAATCACTCGGATTATAACGATAAATTTTTTTTAAATCAGTAAAGTCTAACCCGATCGAGTCATGAGAACCAAGAGTAACTTTGGTCTAAAATCAAGAACAAAATTTTAACCATTCTTTTCAATAAAGCTTAAATTTTTATTATGATATAAAAATACATTTCAAAATGTATCTAGAATATATATTTAATACGAGTTAAAGGTTAGAATTATATTTAAAAAGTTTTTGAATGCGAAATCTTTTATTTAAACAGTAATTATAAAACGCACCTATGGTGTTTTACATCAATTATATATTTTATTATTTTTGTAAGTTTTATAAGTTTTGTATATAAAATTTTTCTTCACATTAGGGTTCGTATTAAGAATTAGAATTAAGGTTTTTGGGGCGTAGAACATTTTTACCCACACCGATTAATTTGTCAGTTTTTGAGATAATGTATTCATAGATGCAAAACACCATAGATGCGTTTTAGTAAAATTCATTTAAAATATTAAATCATACTATAGTAGGGATGTTAAGTCGTCCGAGAGGACCGGGTCCGGACCGGGTCTTGGACCAGACTTTTTAGGACGGTTCAGAACTAGTCCGAATAATCTTGTGATATCAAGATCGTCTAA